CTTCTCCCTAACGAGCTTGTAATCTCATCGCAGAGACACAGACAAGCAAGTACGGGTGGGAATGAATGAATACTCACCGAGTGTGAAGTGGCTGAGGCACTGGAGAAAGCAGTAGAAGAGCAATAAGTGCTATAAGAGATCATAAATTCAGAGTACTATAACTGAAGTTATTTAAATCAGAATTTGAGGACCAATATAATACTGAGTTCAGCATCAGGTCCAAATCTTACTTGAAGCAAGGTGTGGGGGCACAGGCCTATAATTCTAGCTCCTCAAGAGGCTGAGATAAGAAGCTTGCAAGTCTAGGGCCAAAGAAACAGCTCAGTGGCATAAGTGCCTGTTTGGCAAGTGTAAGGTCCTGGGTTTGATCCCTGGTACCCAAAAATAAAAAAGAGAAAAAGAAATTAGCAAGTCCAAGGACACCTAAGCAAGTTAGTAAGACCTTGTATCAAAATGAAATTTTTAAAAAACTGTGGATATAGTTCAATGGTGGAGCACTTGTCTAGAATTGCAAAGCACTGGGTTCAAGCCCCAATGTCTAAATGAATAAGTAAAATTAAATCTAATTTGCTAGAGCACAAACAAAACGTGCTCCTTAGTTGAGGGGCTATGGCCAACAATATCTGCATCTTTGCCCACAGAGAGGCAGTCTATGTGCCTGTCTCTTGAATCTGGAGTGACCTGATTTAGCCACAGAAGGAGGCATATATGACACGTGTGGCTTCTGCGGCCATGGTTTAGAAGCATTACACTTTCCACATGCACTGTCATGAATGTGGTCCGCAGACTGCCAAAGCAGCCTGCTGGAGGATGAGCAGCTACATACGGAGTAGATAGTTGATGCGCGAATAGGACCACCCGGGACCTTCAGCGCAGCTGACTGTTCAGCTTAGGCATTGACAAACTATAAAATGTTAGGCATAGTCTGCTTTGGTAAGTCCTTTGAGTTAAGAATACCTTTGGGGTTTTAATAGTTTATAAAAAATAAAATAAGAAAAAAGAATATGCAACAGACAGAGGCTGTGTTAGTCAGCTTTCCATTACTGTAACGAATTTCTGTAGTGAAGCAACAGAAAGAGTTTCTTCTGACTCCCAGTTTCAGAGGCCCCTGTCCATAGCCAGCTAACTCTGTTGCTCTGGGGCCTGTTGTGAGGCAGCACATCACTGCTGCATGCGAAGGAATAAAGCTGTTCAGCTCACGGCCCAGAAAAGGTGGGGAGGGTACAAGAGGTAATGTTAGGGCTTTACAGTCCCTTTGAGGGCAGATCACCAATGACATACCCTCCCCCTCTGCCCCATCTCGTTAGGGTTTTACCACCTCCCCCTAGTGCCACAGGCTGAGAACCACACTCTAGCACATTGGCTTTTAGGGGGACAGTCGGTCCCCAAACTATACCAGAGAGATAGTATAAATACAGTCCAGTCCTTTACAGAAAATTTGGCAACTCAACAGATGCTCAGAATTGTGAGAAATTCTAGATTCATATTTTTGCAAGCAACTACATTTTGAGATGGCTTGGTGTACAGCAACAGATAGCTGAATCACTAGCTGATAAATGTTTTACAGTGAAAAGGAAGACCACCTCAGGAGACAGTCTCTTAAAGGTCATGGAGCATTTCTTGTCATGTATTTCATTTGGGAGAATTTTATTTTACAACCAGTTTATGATGGTGCTGTTTTACATTCTAGAAATGTATTGGCTTCTACAGACAGATACTTCTGGTAATTATTCAAGGGACAGTCAAAACATTTTAGAAGTAGGTATTGTAATATAACTTTCCTACAATTAAAAAAATACAGTATTGTAAGACAGAATATGGTATTAATGTCCTAAATCATTTTTCCAGATACAGAGGTCAATTTTTTCAGTGCATTAATCTATTTGCAATGGGACTTGCCTAGTTTTCTCATTAACAACCCTCCTTTACTTCGGTGAGCTACTCAGGTGGGGTGCTGCACAGCTGTGATAAAGACAGCGGCAGGTCTGCACTCGCTTCACCCTTTGCAAAGGGCACAACCAGCTGCTCAGGTCGGAACCTAGAACAGAACCATGAGTGATTCAGACCTCAGTATTTACACAGTACCAACCAAGTTCTAGCCTTACACTGACTGCTACTATTTAAGCTTAGCAGTATTATATACCCATTTTGATTCTGCTTTTCTATTATTTTAAGAACCACTGGATTTCCATAAATGATTTTCAAATTTTTATTGGTGCCTATTTGAAGTACCTGATGTTTACATTTACCAGAGGACCTTGGTACAGGGCCATAACACTTCTTTTCTTTTTTTTTTTTTTTTTTTTTGGTGGAAGCAGGGATTGAACTCAGATCCTTGCGTTTGCCAGTCAAGCGCTTATCCTACTGAGCCATCTCCCCAGCCCCCAAATTATGAGGGACATTTTTAGTGAATGATACTAGACATTTTTTTTTTTTTTTTCGGTACCGGGGATTGAACTCAGGACCTTGTGCTTGCCAGGCAAGCGCTTATTCTACTGAGCTATCTCCCTGGTCCCCCATAACACTTCTTAACTCTTTCTACTTCTCCTTCCCTCCCCATCTCTCCCTCCGTACCTCTTGGCCCCCTTCCATTTTCATAAATGATTTATAAATATATATATTTCATTCACTTATTCTTCTCCTTTTTGCAGCAGAAAAGGCTTTGATAAGGAAGAAGCAGTTGAGCCAGGAGATTTGGAAATAAAAATTAATGAGCCATTATATCTTGATGCAAATATGTAGGTTACAAATGGAGATGGGGTCCCAGCTAGGCTGGCCAATGGTTAAACAAGTGCCTCAGACCATTTGACTGAGGGAAGAACAGTACAATAAGCTGCACCTTTGAATCTGTATTTGGCCTAGAACAATGTGGTAGGCTCTTTCCAAATAGTGTCCCTGAAGCCCCCCAGTCCTCACCTTTGTGTGATTATGCTCTTGCCTAGGTTCTCTCTTGGATGATGACCAGTCCTATGCTTGGTTTTTATCAATACAATATGGCAAAAGCAGTGCTGCCTGACTTTTGAGGCTAGTTTCTCTTTCTCTAAATATATTTATTTGTTTACTCGAGAAAGGGTTTCACTGTAGTTCAGGCTAGCCTTGTGCTCACTTTTGTAGCCCCCAGGCTGGTTTTTAACCCCCAGTAATCCTCTAGTCTCAACCTCCTGGGTGTAGGGGTTACAGGCATTTGCCACCACGCCCAGTTCCGAGGCTAGTTTCCCTCTTGATGCTTCTGACTCATAGAATGTTGACTCTGAGGAAATTCAGGCCCATTGGTTGGGCAAAAAGCAGAAGATAATTTGCTGATGCACACGAAACTGTTAGTATGACCCAATGACTTGGACTGACTAACTGGAAATGTAGTCTGTTCAGAAGTGGGAATACAGCTGTTTAAATATTTCATTTGTCTGTGGAGCAGAGATGTCCACTGAGAACTCATTTGACATAAGAGTTTTTGTCATCAAACAAAGGTGATGGAGCTCTTACCAAGAAGAGCTCAGGCACTGAAGTAGAAATAGAGATACTTACCTTGTATGTCCACAAATGCCATATAAGTTAGACACCAAATGACCAAAGGCAAAGAGTACATGGTAAATTACATATTCTTGGTTTATTTCTATTACTAATAAAATGGATGGGGAATTAGATACCCCTTGCTGGCACCAAATGCCCAATGCCCACAGCTTTCGGGAGGAGAGTTTTATTTTGGCGCATAGTTTTCAGAGGAGTCAGTGTGCAGTGGGTTAGCTCTAAGGCGAAATGGTACTGTGGGAGAGCTTGGTGGAAGGTATTTGCTCACTGTGTGGCAGCCAGGAAGCAGGGCTTGAAATGAGGAGCTTGGGACAAGACTACATCGGCCCGGGTCCTGTCCCCAGCGACCACCTCCAACCAGGTTCTACCTCCTGACTGCACATGCAGCTACTCATTCAGTGGATGGATCTACTGAGGCCTGCAGGGCATTCGTGATGCAATCACCTTCCAAAGGGCCCACATCTGAACAGGAGACTTCAGGGGCAATGCTTTGGATCTAAACTATAAGATTCCACCCAGGGCCCCTAAAAGGCTTATGTTCATCTTACTATGCAACATGTACTTAGTCCATCACTTAGAATTGTCACAGTCTTAACAGATCCAGCATTGTTGAAAATACCAAACCCACTTTCCTTTCAGACTCAAGGCAAACTTTTAAAATCAAAAAGAAAGCCCCCTATAAAAATCAAAAAGAAAATGAAATACTTCCAACATATTATGGCAAGATAAACAGTCCCATTCTAAAAATGAGAGGGCCAGGAACAGAAAGCAATTGGGCTAAAGAAAGATAGAAACCCAGCTGGGTAAAACTTAAATCCTGCGTCCTCTGTCTGCCCAGTAGGACGCATGTGAGATGGAAATTCCAAAGGTCTTGGGCGTCTCACCCTTAAGACGTTGCCCAGGTGTTTTTCTTTCCTCATTGGCTCCACGTGGAGTTCAACAAGCAAATCCCTGGAAACAGTGGCAAGCTTGGAGCCATGGCAAGGTAAGAATGGGAATATTAAACAAATCCTAGCATTAAGGCGCCAAACTCCTGCAGCCACAAATACTAAACTCATACACAACAGGGCCATTTGGAGGGCAAGATGACACGAACAGAGAGAGCGCGCCAAACCCCGCGCGCACGGCTGGGGGCGCGGGCGTCGCTCGGCAGCGAGGGGCGTCGGCCGGGCCCCGCGCGTGTGGGCTGCGCGCGCCTGAGCGTGCGTGCGGCTGCGGGAGGCTGGGGCGCGCGCGGGGCTGGAGCGCTGTGGGCCGCGTGGGAGCTGAGCGCGCGCCGGCATGGGAGGTGAGTGCCGCGGCGACCCGGGGCGGTAGAGGGCTGGGCTGGCCCTAAAGCTGGCCGAGACACACTGTGCTGAGAACGCACCCCGCCGGGAACGCGGATGTTCCAGCTGGGAACGCGGATGTCCCGGCTGCCGGGCGGGGAAGCACCACCCGCCCCACCGACTCTTGGGGCCTGGCAGGTTGCGCCACGAGCCACCACGCCCTGCGCTCTGGGACCTCTGTGCTCGCTGCCGCAGGCTTGTGGCCGGCTGCGGGAGCCTCGGAGGAGCCCCGGGCGCGGGGCGCAGGGCCCAGGCCGCAGCTGCGCGCCGCCCACCGCGCACCCTTCCGTGCGGGGCGCGCCGTCCCTGCCCCTCCGCGCCGCGTGCTGCACCTGGCGCCACCAAGCCCTTCCCGGGCCGCGTTTGCCGCCTCGGCGAGGGAGCGGACCCGGCCGGTGGAACGGTCCTCCAGCAGGCCTGGGGCGATCGCGATCGCCAGGCGGTGGCCTAGGGCCTAGGGCCTGAAAGGTAGAGGGTGCGGGAGGGGAGGGTGGGGAGAATAGAGACTTCGGAAGGGAATGAGAGAGCGGGGAAGAGAGAGAGAGAGAGAGAGAGAGGGGAGCAAGAATCCCCGGGGAACCCGGGCTACCGACTCAGAAGTGGGGTCTCTGGCAGCACCCAAGGTTTTGTCAAGGAAATCGCAGAGCGCCGTGGATGGAGTCTGACTTCCAGATCGCGAGGAATGAAGGCAGCAGCAAATGCATTCGGTATTCGTACTCGGTATTTCTTTTCGCCTTCCCTCTGCTAGACTAGAAGGGAGACTTCTGCTAGACAGAGACGGGTTTTATTCCTTGTAGTCTGCAAAGAGTGGCAGCCTTTATGAGGAAGCTGGCTTGGTAATAAGAGCGACTACCAAGGAGAAAATTGCCAAGCGATGTCTCTGACCTTTCTCTTTTCTATTTTCAGAAGTAAGAAGGATTGGAGTTTATGGTTTTCATATGGGAACAATTTTGTGTTTTAGCTCTCAGGGAGTGTAGGGCACAGGGAGGGATCTGTGTTTGTGCTCAAATTGTATCAGTGCCTGATAAAAGCGCAAACTGAATTTCCATCAGCTAGATGAACAAGCGTCGATGACTTCCCTCACCCTTTAAATTAAAAGGTTCACCCACAGTAAATGGCTGTTGGGTAACTTCAGCCCTAAAAAGTCTGTGATCAAGACGGTGGGGAGATAGCTCAGTAGCATAAGCCCTTGCCTGGCAAGTGCAAGGGACTGAGTTCAATCCCCGGTTCCGGCAAAAATAAATAAATCCAAATTAGAACGTGAAGGAAGAAGAGCCAAGACTTCCAAAAATGCAAAAAGCACTGATATTTGATAACTTGCTTCTGGGGCCAGGGAGATAGCTCAGCAGAATAAGCACTTGCCTGGCAAGTACAAGGGCCTGAGTTCAATCCCTGGTTCTGCAAAACAAACAAACCAAAAAAAAAAAAAAAAAAAAAAAAAAAAAAAACAAAAACAAACCAAAAAAACTTCTATAGCAATTTGCTGCATATAGAATATTGACTTAAATGTCATAGTGCCAATTTTGTTATTATATCATGTTTTTCTACTTTACTGTTCGTGGTTTACAGCAGATCTGAGCATTTTAAAGAATGAATGTAAAGAACCACAGAAAAACCATCAGCAAATGATTTAATCTTATCTGAAACTCAACAGGTAAGTTTAACTTATTTATACTTTTAAAAGTGTGCTCAGGGCGGGCCAGATAGCTCAGTGGACTAAAGTGCCTGCTTAAACAGAGTGCAGAGGCCTAGGTTCGATCCCAAGGGTGCCATGCTGCCCTGGCCCCCAGGTCGCACTGAGATGGCAATAGAGACTGGGTGTGATGCCGCGTGCCTGTAATCCCAGTGCTTGGGAGGCTGAAAACAGGAGTCCAACCTACGAGTGAGACCCTGGAGACCCTGTAGAGCCTGCACTAAATACAAAAAAAAAAAAAAAAAAAAAATTGTGCTCATGATACTGCTCTTTACAGGATTTTAGATATTGACTTGGCTCAGAGTTTGTTATAGTATATTGTAGTATGTTTCTTTCCCCTGTTGTCTAAAGAGGTCCAGTATTGGGTAAAACATGTTTTTATTAAAAATTATATTATTAAAATATTATGCTACCTCAGGAAAATAGTAACAACATAAACTCAAGTTCATGAGTCCTAACAAAGCTCAGACTCCGGTTCTCTTTTTTACAAAAATTTTAAATCTTTTATTTCTTTATTATTTGGTACAGGGTCTTGCTATGCATCTTGGACTCATAATGATCGTCCTGTCTCAACCTCCCCAGTGCTGGGATTACAGGTGTGCGCCCCCATGCCTGGCCAGCATGGTGTGCTCAGGGTTCTGGGGCTGGCATGGCGTGTGGTGTCAGGGATGGACCCCAGGTCCTTGCACTTGCCAGGCAGGCGTTTAGACCACTGAGCTATCATACCAGACCTCAGGTTCTCTTTGATTCTAAAAAATGTCCCTCTGTATGTGTTCCTGTTCCTCTTGGGATGGTTGATTTGCCTTCCCGCAGTGACCACACTTCAGCTGTGCTCTGTGTGCTAGTGTATGATGCAGGTAGAGGTCATGTTAGGAAATGACTCTACTTTTTTTACAACTATGTAACATCCAGTATGTGTTTTTCTGTTACCACTTTTATGGCTGTTATTGCCCATTGTGCCTTGGGATGAGGGAAGTCCCTACTGTATGGTAAATAGCCACCCTGCCAGGCTTCCTGGTTGAGGTCAACACATGGGATCAGACAGGATGTGTCTGTAACCTTTTGGAACACAAGCATTGAGAAAGAATAGCACTGCGTGCTCTTGGGCACACATCTCTTTGGGGATTATGAACAATGATTTGATTTTCATAAAGATTGCATATTGCAAATACTGACTTGCTTTTGTTATAATGCAAATACTTTTTTTTTTAATATTTATTTATTTATTTATTTATTTATTTATTTATTTAGTGTGTGGCCAGCTCAGCCCACCAGGGGGCAGGCGGGCTGGCATGTGGTGCTGGGGGATTGAACTGTGGTCCCTGTGCTTTGCTTGGCTTAGCTTGTTCTTGTTATAGGTCTCTTGGCCTGTTGTGGATCAGAAGAGAGGGGAAGATAAGGGTATGAGATAAAACTACCACAGTTTGCAGGATTCAAATCAGAAGGGAGTAAGATGAAGTTGTAGAACATCCTGGTGGGTGTCTCTCAGGATGTGTGTTCTCCTTGAGGCATTGAGACATTAAAGAATGAAACCTAGAAAACTAGAGCAGATTTTGTTTCCAGTCCTGCATATTTCTGATTCTACACACACAAGTAGATAACTAAAAGGTCAAGGCCTATTTTTCTGCTATTTCATCCACAGCCCAGGTAATACTTACCAGCCCTGCCTATCCCCCAGGAGCCAGTTCAGGTGGGGAACATATCAGCTAGACTGAGATCCCTTTGGAGTCATGAGGAAGCAGAGAAGAGAGATCTTGAGCTCTGCGGACTAAATCGCCTGCTTAGGCAGACACAGGGACCAGGGTTCGATTCCTGGCATGCCTTGCCAGTCCCGCTCCCACCCCCTGGGGCGCTGAGATGGCAATTGAGACTGGGCATAGTGGCGTCTAGTGCTTGGGGGGCTGAAAACAGGAGGATCATTATGAGTCTAATCTGTGTAGTGAGACCCTGTGTGTGTTTGTAGACCCTGTTAAATACTTAAAACAAAACAAAAAAGAGATCGTGGGAGACTTGTTGCTGTCCCAGTGTGCCTACTCATGGGACTAGAACATTTTCTGGCCAGGGCAGCTTTACAAATATAGTCAGACCTCTGGGTCTTTTAAGTTCCATGTCCACAGACTCAACCAACCATGGACTAAAATAGTTCAGGGAAAAATTTTATCTTTTAAATTTGTACACGTTTTTTAAAAAATGTTTTCTGTTAAGCGATACAGTAAAATATTTACATTGTACTTGGCAATATAAGTAGTATAGAAATGACTTATAGAATGGGGAGGCTATCTGTAGGTTATATGCCAATGTTATATAATTTTATACAAGGGATGGGCATCTTTAGATTTTGGTACTATGGGGAACGTATGTGCTATGGTTCCATTTTATATACAAAAGCAGAACTGAGGAGCTGAGATAGAGATTGTACAGTCAGAAGAGAAAATATTTGATATCTTTTCTTTTAGGGAAAATTAAAATTTGCCTGTCCCAAGGCTAGAACATGGATTTCTGCAAAGCTTAAAGCTGTGCATTTTGAACAGGCTGTTAGAGTGAATAAAGAAACAGCATTCCTGTGCAAACATTTCACAAGTCTGCAGCCATCCACCTCTAGCCTGACCGAGGGCTCATCTAGGTCTTTTATCTAGAACTATTTGATTATCTTTTGGTTACAGACTTTGTTTTGAATATGGAGTTGCCCACTTTCTAAGACAGAAAATTATCATTTACCCTCATAGCATTAAATACTTCCTTAGTTTATACCTTTACTGGGCATTAATACGTTCTTTTATTTTCCATAATTTTATTGAGAAACAAATAGCAATGAGACAGTTTCAAATCAAATTGGTAGGACAGTTTCAATAATTAACATATTGCATACATTCTTCCTAGTGGTTAATTGCTGTACAAGATTCGGACATGATATCCTATTTACGAACATCATTAGAACAAATCACTCTATTCGTTAAGAGAATGTAACTATATATCTATCCTAACCACTTTGAATACACAGATACAAAATCGTCATTCATCTGTATCCCCTTTTTTTATTCAGTTCCGTTATTTGAATATTATAGGTGTGTAAACTCAGCAAAATATTCTAAAAGAGTCCAGTATCCCATAATAGTATTGGGTCTTCTGCTTAACTGGCAGTATCAGAAATTGTTGACCTGAGTCCCCTACAGCTCAAAATAACAGCATGGCTTTACTTCTTATATTTCATTTTTATACTTTCCTGCTGGATGGTTAAGACCAAGGTAAAGCAGGACCTATGCAACAAGAGTTGTAGCTTTTGAGTCTGATAAGGTCAGTGAAATCCCCTCAGGATTTATCCTTAGATCCTGTACCTCAGATCGTAGATCCTTTGTCAGTGTCAGCCATGTGGATGAGTCACGGCCATTGCTTGGCCAATGTGCTCTCTGTGAAAGCCT